AGGGAGCTTTACTCTGTATCTAACCCCGTGCTGTCCCTGTCCTGGGGAGTGTTTGATGGGGGACAGTGTAGAGAGAGCTTTACTCTGTATCTAACCCTGTGCTGTCCTTGTCCTGGGAGTGTTTGATGGGGGACAGTGTAGAGAGAGCTTTACTCTGTATCTAACCCCGTGCTGTCCTTGTCCTGGGAGTGTCTGATTGAGGGACAGTGCAGATGGGCCGAAGGGCATTTTCCGTGCTGTTGTGACGCTATTTTGTATGACATTCCAGGTTGTTCCAAACCCCCATCATCTGTGCAATTCCATTCAAGTCAGCTTCTTCAGCTCTGAAGAACAGTCATACTGGACTTGAAATGTTAACTCTGTCTCTCTCTGACCACAGACGTTGCTGAGTCTCTCCAACATATTCCTGCTTTCATTTCTCCTTTTCGCTCGTTCTGCTTTAAGAGGAACATCTCCAGTCTCTCCACTTTGTCCCACAACTGCATTCTCCAGTCTCTTGTGGGGATTTGCAGCTACAAACGGTTGCATCATAAGCCCCTCTCTACGTACCTCGATCTAACTCAGAGGCGCGAACGCTTCCACCCTCCTAGTCAAGGCCACCTAGTCTCAAGCCTTACCTCCCCAAAGGACTGTTCTTCTTTCTGATCTGTGGCTGCCTCTATGCCCAGGTTCGCAAACACACCCGAGATCCAAAAGTCTCCCAATGCACAACAAGTCCTCAGCCATTATGATGCTCACTGGCCACTCAACAGGATTCACAGTGGAATGGCAAACGAAAGGAAAATACAAACAAGGATAACATTGGACATTATTTCTTTTCAAAGCGATTTGGACACTGTCCACCCTATTTTGCTTTTCTGAAACGACGCCAAGATTAAGGGCGAGGATACAACAGCAAAGACGCACTGCTGAGGCTGTATAAGGCTCTGGTCAGGCCGCTTTTGGAATATTGTGAGCAGTTTTGGACCCCGTATCTAAGGAAGGATGTGTTGGCGTTGGACGGGGTGCAGGAGGGGTTTGCCAGAGTGATCCTGGGGACGAAGGGCTTGTTGTTTCAGGAGTCTGTGTCTGTTTGGAGTTTAGAAGGATGGAGGGGGGAATCTGATTGAAATTTACAGAAAACCAAGGGGCTGGATAGAGTGGATGTCGAGGAGATGTTTCCAGCAGTAGGAGAGACTAGGATCCGAAGGCACAGCCTCATAGTGAAAGGACTGAGATGTGGAGGAATTTCTTCAGCCAGAGGGTGATGAATCTGTGGAACTCATTGTCTCAGAGGGCTGTTGGGGCCAAGTCATTGAGTGTCTTTAAGACAGAGATAGATAAGTTATTGATTGATCGGGAGATCAAAAGTTATGAGGAGAAGGCAAGAGAATGGGGTGGAAAAACATATCAACCGTGATCAAATGCTGCAGCAGACTCAATGGGTTGAATGGCCTAATTCTGCTCCTATATCGGTTGGTCTTATATCTTGTTTGACCCCTCCTAGTGTTAAACCAGCCCAATTCAGTACCACGCCTTCACACCCAGGCTATGTCCCAGCCCTGCCTAATCTTATAGTCCTCCATAAGAGGGCGTTCCATCCACATTTCCATCCTGTCCAGGCCCCTCAAGTTCATAAATGTTTCATTGAGCTAATCTCTCATTCTTCTAAACTCCAATGAGAATAGGTCTGACTTTCTCAACCTTTCTTCACAGCATAAATTCCAGGAATAAGTTGTGAACTTTCTCTGAACCGCATCTAAAGCAACTTTATTGATTTTTTGAGTAAGGAGATGAAAGCTGTCGACTCTCCTTCAGATGTGGTCTCACTAAGGTCCTGTATAGCTGCAGTAAAACCTTCCTACCCTGTACATACCATTCCCCTTGCAATAAACACCAACATTCCCGTTCTGTTCGCCTTCCTGATTGTTTATAGAGTCATACGGCATAGAAACAGACCCTTTGGTCCAACCAGTCCATGCCGACCATAACCCCAAATTAAACTTGTCCCACCTGCCTGGCCCATATCCCTCCAAACCATTCCCTATTCGTGTACTTATCCAAATGTCTTTTAAACGTTGTAACTGTACCCACATCCACCACTTCCTCTGGAAGCTCACTCAACACACAAACCGCCCTTTATGTAAAAAAAAGTTGTCCCCACGTCTTTTTTAAATCTCTCTCCTCTCACCGTAAAAATATGCCCCCTGTCTTGAAATCCCCCCAGGGAAAAGACACCTACCATTCACCTTAAATATACCATTCGTGATTTTATAAACTTCTATAAAGTTCCCTCTCAACCTCCTAAACTCCAGTCAAAAATGTCCAAGCCTATCCAGCCTTTCTTTCTAACTCAAACCCTCCATTCCTGGCAACATCTTGGTAAATCTCTTCTGAACCCTCTCCAGTTGAATAATATCCTTTCTATAACAGGTAGACCAGAACTGGACACAGTCCTTCAGAAGAGGCCTCATCAATGTCCTGATGAAGGGTCTAGGCCCGAAACGTCAGCCTCTCTGCTCCTATGATGCTGCTTGGCCTGCTGTGTTCATCCAGGTCTACACCTTGTTGTCTCGGATTCACCAGCATCTGCAGTTCCTACTGTCTCTCATCAATGTCCTGTTCAATCTTAACATGACGTCCCCAACTCCTATACTCAAACGTCTGAGCAATGAAGGCAAACGTGCTAAATGCCTTCTTAAGCACCCTGTCTACCTGTGACACAAACTTCAAAGAATTATGTACCTGAACCCCTAGGTCTCTCTGTTCTATAACACTACCCAAGGCCCTACTTTTAATTGCATAAGCCTTGACTTTGTTTGTTTTAGCAAAATGCAAGTGTGCATTAAAACTTTATGTGGTTCATGTAACAAGACACCCAGATCCTTCTGCACTGTCAGGAGAACTGTAACCCCTCTTCACCCAAACAGTCACATTTCAATGCGGGATAGTCGCCAAGAAATCCACCAGTGGAAGCCTCATTTACCCAGGGAGTGGTGAGAATGTGGAATTCTTTCATGGGTTGTGGGCACTGCTGGCAAAGCCAATGTTTGATGCTCACTGCTAACTGCTCCTGAACTGCAAGGTTTACTTGCCAGTTCAGACCCAACCGCGTCGCTGTGGAGTCACATGTACGTCAGACCAGGTAAGGAAGGCAGATTTCCCTCCCTAAAGGCTAGCGGTGAACCAGAGAAGCACTTACAACAATTCACAACAGTTACCACGAAACATTCCCTCCCTCAAAAAGGCAGGGAAGGCAAAACCTTTAAATATTTTTTCAGGCAGAGACAGATGACCGAGGGGGTGAAAGATTGTTGGGGGGATGTGTAGGAATGTAGAGTTGAGGTTAAAATTAGGCCAACCGTGACTTTTGTTTCTGAATGGTGGAGCAGGCTTGAAGGGGCCTACTCTTGTTCGGCTAATTTTACAAAAAAACAGTTCCGGATTTATTAATCAAATTCAACTTTCACTATCTACCGTGATGGGAATTGAACTCAGCTCCTCGGAGCTCAGTCCAGTGCCAACTCCACTACGTCATCAGATGTCCCTGAGGTATAGGAGGAAATGTAGCTGTACTGATCAAACTAGTTTGGAAATGATAGGACAACGACTCAGTGGAGCATAAACATGAGCTTGTATGAGACTCCTATTTATGGCGCACATTTCACATTGTTCTTTGTAAGGTGATGTAAATCCTCGATTTAACTTCTACAGTTTCAGAG